AGATATCTTTGGCAGTGTGCCAATTTTCCAGGTAAGGCAGATATCTTTGGCAATGTGGTAATATTTTAGGTAAGGCAGATATCTTTGGCAATATGCCATTTTTCCAGGTAAGGCAGATATCTTTGGCAATGTGACAATATTCTAGATAAGGCAGATATTTTTGGAAGTGTTCTATGAAGTATATTCAGAAAATAAATGTCTCTTTCGTCACTCACTTTATCACAGATCCCTGGTCGTACTTTCCCAGTTGATATTCTCTTCAGTAAGAATGTTGTAGAAGACTATGTTGATTCATCAGTGAAACAAGCATTACAGATCCATTTACAACCAGCACCTGGTGATATCCTTGTATTCATGCCAGGACAGGAAGACATTGAAGTCACATGTGATCTCATTGCGGGTAGGTACATGTCTATTGCATATCTGGCAATGAAAATCAACGCAGTAAGAAACTATATTTGGCTTAGGATCTATAGATCCACAGGAAACTACATAAACTGTTCAGCTCTTTGTTTATGTTTGCCACCCAGTGTGCATACACATTTTTTGGAATCTTACTGTTTATACATGTGACATCAAAAACAATTAATAGAATTCATTTGTCTGTAAAAACGCCATACCCACAAATTACACATGTTACAGACATGTTCTGTTGGTTCCAAATTATGGTTCATTTCAAGAAATATTGATTAATATAAGAAAAAATATCAGAAAAATTTGGGCAAGAAAGTCTGGTGGTGAAAAGGTTAAATTAGTACAACAAGCAGAAAAAAGGTTGTAAAATAATAAGGATGTTATGAGAATACCGCAATAATAAGGATGTTATGAGAATACCCCAAAGTATGCTCTCAGGTGGTACATGAACACATAAATCTCTGATATGGGTGATTTGATACAATCCACGTACTGCCTGAGCACATACTTTGCAGCAATCATGTAATAACCTTGTAATATTGTCTTCTACTTTCAGTTTATATTTAGTACATAAACCCAAAATGAGCTTTATTATATCTCAGTCATTAAGTGTATTTGCTACTAACTAAAAGCAAATATAGTAGCTTATATATATATAGCTATTATTAACTTGACTGGTCACTATCACTAGACAATAAGTATCCTCTGATCAGAGGATCAAATTTAATTTCAAACAGGAATGGTTTGCCTTTCATTATGCAACAGAAATATTATTTTAACCCATCGTGCTCATCAAAACAAATTTGAAAAGTTGTTACTGTCAGCGATATGAATATTAATGAAGCAAAAAGGCCATCTATTGATTATGGTCATCAAATTGTTAGAGATGTAAACCTTGTTATCTCAATTACAGAAAGACTTGAAGAGATTGAGAATGCTCCACAGTTAGCTATCTTACCTATCTACTCTCAGTTGCCGTCGGATCTACAGGCAAAGATATTCCAGAAAGCCCCTGATGGGGTCAGGAAATGTGTAGTAGCTACAAATATTGCAGAGACGTCGCTTACTGGTAAGTTTCATGCTCCCTAGGATTGACACTTTCCTTGGGATAAAAAAGATTCTGACAATGATTCAACCCCTGTGAAACACGTTAAAATAAAAACACTAAATATAGCGTAAATTATATAGTTAATTTACATAATGATTAGTCAGTTTCCAGCTTTTCCACTCATGTCTCAAGTACTAATTTCACATTTCAATGAAACTTGGTACATGGATGCTCAAAGACAGACCTAACAAGTTTAGGGTTATTGTCCTTGCATATTAATTAAATAATTTTTTTCTACTGATATTTCAGGTACTAATCATTTAGTTTTAATGAAACCTAGTACATAGAAAGCTCTAGCACTTTGCACAGACCTAATTAATTTTGAATAAAAATCTGTGCTCATTATACACCTAATTTGCATACAAATTGGTCAATTTTTGGCTTTTCTACATTGATATCTAAAGTACTTATCGTTTTTCAATGAATCTTGGTATGTAAAGGCAATGCAACTAATTAGTTATGTTTATATACATCCATAATAATTACCTAATTTGCATAATGATTAATCATCACATTATAATAAAACATGATACATATGGGCCCTGGAACAATACCCAAATCGATAAATAATTGCTTAATTTGCATAATAACTACCAATTTTCAAAAACCAATTATTGCATTTCAATAAGACTTGATTAGTTTAATAATGAAAAATGTATGAATTGATTATCTAATTATTATTAGCAATTTAATTCTAAAATATCTCCAATACTCAGGAGGTTTTTTCTAAGCTTTCTTTGATTAAGGATTCACAGAAATAGGACCCTATATAATATTATTGCACCATGTTGTTACCTTGTTATTTTGGTCTAGAAAATGAAAAAATGTGTTAACCTTGACCTTGTTCTCATATACAGTTGATGGAATAATGTTTGTAGTGGATTCTGGATATTGTAAATTGAAAGTGTTCAACCCACGTATTGGTATGGATGCTTTACAAATATATCCAATCAGTCAAGCCAATGCAAATCAGCGATCTGGGCGTGCTGGCAGGACTGGACCAGGGTTAGTGTATAATGATCACATTGTCTTCTTGTAATGAAAGAAAATGTCTTGTATTGTGTTTGATTTGTTGAGGTGCATGACTCAAATTTGAATATAATTAGTAGAAAAATTAATTATACTAACTGCATGTTGTACTCTGATTTACATTAGCAAATTAACTGACTGACAGTATATTGCTATTGGCCTTCTCAATAGAGCTAACGCACTGACAGTATATTGATATTGGCCTTCTCAATAGAGCAAACGCACTGACAGTATATTGCTATTGGCCTTCTCAATAGAGCCAGCATAGTATATTGCTATTGGCCCTCTCAATAGAGCAAACTCACTGACAGTATTTTGATATTGGCCTTCTCAATAGAGCAACTCACTGACAGTATATTGCTATTGGCCTTCTCAATAGAGCTAACATAGTATATTGCTATTGGCCTTCTCAATAGAGCAAACGCACTGACAGTATATTGCTATTGGCCTTCTCAATAGAGCTAACATAGTATATTGCTATTGGCCCTCCCAATAGAGCAAACGCACTGACAGTATATTGCTATTGGCCTTCTCAATAGAGCTAACATAGTATATTGCTATTGGCCCTCCCAATAGAGCAACTCACTGACAGTATTTTGATATTGGCCTTCTCAATAGAGCTAACATAGTATTTTGATATTGGCCCTCTCAATAGAGCAAACGCACTGACAGTATATTGATATTAGCCCTCTCAATAGAGCTAACATAGTATATTGCTATTGGCCCTCCCAATAGAGCAACTCACTGACAGTATTTTGATATTGGCCTTCTCAATAGAGCTAACATAGTATATTGCTATTGGCCCTCTCAATAGAGCAAACACACTGACAGTATATTGATATTAGCTCTCTCAATAGAGCTAACATAGTATATTGCTATTGGCCCTCCCAATAGAGCAACTCACTGACAGTATTTTGATATTGGCCTTCTCAATAGAGCTAACATAGTATATTGCTATTGGCCCTCTCAATAGAGCAAACGCACTGACAGTATATTGATATTAGCCCTCTCAATAGAGCTAACATAGTATATTGCTATTGGCCCTCCCAATAGAGCAAACTCACCGACAGTATTTTGATATTGGCCCTCCCATTAGAGCAAACTCACTGACAGTATTTTGATATTGGCCCTCCCAATAGAGCTAACATAATATATTGCTATTGGCCCTCCCAATAGAGCGACTCACTGACAGTATATTGATATTGGCCCTCTCAATAGAGCTAACATAGTATATTGCTATTGGCCCTTCAAATAGAACAAACTCACTGACAGTATATTGATATTGGCCCTCTCAATAGAGCTAACATAGTATTTTGATATTGGCTCGCCCAATAGAGCAAACTCACTGACAGTATATTGATATTGGCCCTCTCAATAGAGCTAACATAAGTGTATTGATATTGGCCTTCTCAATAGAGCAAACTCACTGACAGTATATTGATATTGGCCCTCTCAATAGAGCTAACATAGTATATTGCTATTGGCCTCCCAATAGAGCAACTCACTGACAATATTTTGATATTGGCCCTCCCAATAGAGCAAACGCACTGACAGTATATTGATATTGGCCCTCTCTATAGAGCTAACATAGTATATTGCTATTGGCCCTCCCAATAGAGCAACTCACTGACAGTATTTTGATATTGGCCCTCACAATAGAGCTAACATAGTATATTGCTATTGGCCCTCCAAATAGAACAAACTCACTGACAGTATATTGATATTCGCCCTCTCAATAGAGCTAACATAGTATATTGATATTGGTCCTCTAAATAGAACAAACTCACTGACAGTATTTTGATATTGGCCCTCTCAATAGAGCTAACATAGTATATTGAAATTGGCCCTCTCAATAGAGCAAACCTACTGACAGTATAGTAATATTGGCCCTCTCAATAGAGCTATCACAGTACATTGATAATGATAAACCATTAAAATCACTAAAAACTGAAAAAAATTTGAAATTACATTGTACATTGTAAATTGTAATGTTAATTGAAAGGTGGTAATTTTTCAAAAGTAGCAAAGTTACTCATTAATGAAAAATGTTTGAATGTTAGTTCATCTGAGTTGCATGTTTGTGAATGTTAGTTCATCTGAGCTAGATGTTTATGAATGTTAGTTCATTTGAGTTACATGTTTATGAATGTTAGTTCACCTGAGTTACATGTTTATGAATGTTAGTTCATTTGAGTTACATGTTTATGAATGTTAGTTCATCTGAGTTACATGTTTATGAATGTTAGTTCATCTGAGTTACATGTTTATGAATGTTAGTTTATTTGAGTTACATGTTTATGAATATTAGTTCATCTGAGTTACATGTTTATGAACATTAGTTCATCTGAGTTACATGTTTATGAATGTTAGTTTATTTGAGTTACATGTTTATGAATGTTAGTTCATCTGAGTTGCATGTTTATGAACATTAGTTCATCTGAGTTACATGTTTATGAATGTTAGTTCATCTGAGTTGCATGTTTATGAACATTAAATCATCTGAGTTACATGTTTATGAATGTTAGTTTATTTGAGTTACATGTTTATGAATGTTAGTTCATCTGAGTTACATGTATATGAATGTCAGTTCATCTGAGTTACATGTATATGAATGTTAGTTCATCTGAGCTACATGTTTATGAATGTTAGTTCATCTGAGCTACATGTTTATGAATGTTAGTTCATCTGAGGTATGAGTTTATGAATGTTAGCTCATCTGAGTTAAATGTTTATGAATGTTAGTTCATCTGAGTTGCATGTTTATGAATGTTAGTTCATCTGAGTTGCATGTTTATGAATGTTAGTTCATCTGAGTTAAATGTTTATGAATGTTAGCTCATCTGAGTTAAATGTTTATGAATGTTAGCTCATCTGAGTTAAATGTTTATGAATGTTAGCTCATCTGAGTTAAATGTTTATGAATGTTAGTTCATCTGAGTTGCATGTTTATGAATGTTAGTTCATCTGAGTTGCATGTTTATGAATGTTAGTTATAACAATGGCTTCTAATTTTTTACTTACAGACAGTGTTATAGACTGTACACAGAGTCTGCCTACAAGAGTGAACTGCTGACTATGACTGTACCTGAAATACAACGTACCAATTTAGCCAATGTGGTACTTTTATTGAAATCACTTGGTGTACAAGATTTGCTGCAGTTTCATTTCATGGATCCACCACCACAGGTAGATTAATCTTTATCTAACTGTGTTGACATTACCCTAGGTTATCTTGCATCAAGTAAGAGAATGACAGCCCTATGTTTATATAGACATATGAATCAGCTGTGATATGCCACATTGTTTGGTGGGTAGTGACATTACATGTACCTGTTGTTTTCAGCAACTCTGGTTGTTTGCTATGTCTAGATGATGATGAAGCAGGTGGCAGTGTCGATTGATGTTTAGTGTTTTTTCCTATCACAATGTTTGCACTGACTTAATTTATGGTTTACTATAGTTTGGAATTTGGGGTTTATTTTTACCCATGGAAACTGGATGTTTGATATCGTAAATATTCTAATTAGGCGTCATTTTTCAAATATTACAATCTTTCCTGATGCCGAAATTATAGTGCAATCCTGTTTTTTCATAGTCAATGATGTCTATTAAAGAGTACAATATTCATCATGACTAGCACGAGTGGGTAAACTCTGTTTCAACAAAGAGCAGTACCGTAATCACTGTAAAAAGTGTTAAATTAAATTAATAATTTAAAAAATTATGCCATTTTCCAAAAGATTATACTGCAACATCAAATCTCTTCCATGTTGCCTTTGCTATTCAGTGAAGTCGCTGAACCCTCATTGTCATATGAGCTATAGTTGACTGGCACCATCCAACATTCTGATTGGTTAATATCCAACAGGTCAAAGAACATAATTCCCGGTTTTATTCTAAAAATCCAGCAAACACATTACTACGAATTTCTTCACAATTTATAAGTTTGGAGAACAGGCTGGATCAAGCAATGTCACCAATATGTTGATGAAAATATTGATCAATGTCACGAAAATTTTTAAAAAATACTAGTTGTACTTTTTTCTGCTGAGGGATGACGTTTCTCTATGACTGCCGTAAATAAAATTTGCATACAACTCAGGGGTACTCAGTTTTCTTGGACACCCCTGGACTAATTCTCCTCAAACCTCACACATACTTATCTGATACATATGCACACGTGATGAATTTGTGATCCGGTCTAAGATGGCCAACTGCTGACAATGTTAGTTACTTTCTTGTGTGATACATATGCATTGAATTTGTGATTCAGTCAAAGATGGCTGACTGATGGCCATGTATGTCAAAAAATTCACTAAAATCATGTATTTTGACATGTCTGAGACCAGATCATGGGCATATGTTCAAACTTAGTAGTGTTAACTATTATGGATAGTTGCATGGCACTTTGATTTGTAAATTCAACTCAAAATAGCCAACTGGTGGCCAATTTGTTTATGACAAATTCTATTCCAGACAGACATATATATATCATACATGCTTTAAGCAATTCATATCAAACTTAATACCTAGATTGTCCATCATATGCATACACACATACAATAATGCTGTCATCTGACCGTTTCATTTGTAAAAAAAAAAAACCCATTAAAGTCAGGTATTATGACATGTCCAGTACCAAACCTTGGGCATGTGGTCTTTGATTTTCTTCAAACTTGGTGGAAGTTTAACCGTTCCTGGAGGTTGATGAATGTCAGAACTTTGATTAACGTCTAATCAGGATGGCTGACTCAACCCTTCAATCAGGTCACCTAAGTACTGCAGCATCATATGCTATAATTCTTAGTTATAAATAACATTCATTATGCGCAGGACTAGAAGCTAAATTATCCTTAAATGTGTATAGTTTTGACATGTGCTTCAATCATTTTATGAGTCACAATAATTATGAATAGGAACCTACATACTAATAATTTGTGCTATTGACCTCTGTTTGCTTACTACTGGTACATGTATAAACATGGTATCATTCGTTGTCACATGCATTTCCATAGTGAAAAATACCATGAGATACGATGAGTTTTTCATTCTGTTGTTATATTCTACGTTACACACCAAAACTACCGCTATTACTCACTTTATAACAAAAAACAGAATTCTGCATGTTTATGGCCTTTAACATTAAGTACATAACAGGGACTGTGGATTGCAATATGCTTGTTTCATCTTTTATGCTGATGTGAGAGTATGTGGTACAGGTGGTATGTGAAGATTATCCACCAGATTTAAAACTATATGATAGATTGTTGTATTCTGAATCAATATAAACTGAGAATGATTTTGCGATGTGTTGTCATTTTTACATTGAAATGCACATTTCTACATTTTAATACTAATACTTGTTTCTTTCTAGGATAACATTTTGAATTCCATGTATCAATTATGGATTCTGGGAGCATTGGATAATACTGGTAATCTCACACCAATAGGAAGACAGATGGTAGAGTTTCCACTGGATCCTGCTTTGTCAAAAGTGTTAATTGTTTCTTGTGATATGGGATGCAGTGCAGAAATACTAGTAAGTAAATTAAAAGTCTAAGCATGGTTTGATCTGATTCTGTACTGCCTGACTGCATAATTTCCATACAAACGTGGGAACAGTCTTGTTTGTATACACATACATGTAAAATAAAATGAGCGATTGCTATGGAGCTGCAACCATCAACATCGAGGTAGCAGGAGGTTTCTGCTGGTGACATTGCGGCATTACTCAGTTCCAAATGAAGGTTACCAACGCCAAATGAGCAACGTTTTAACCGGTAACCAAGACTCATTCAATCCACGGCCAGCGAGCAACATCACAAACGATGTTGTAGCATGCAGCTCAGCAACTACCACTGTCGGCGAAAGTAATCCCGTCAGTGGAGTACCGTAGTTGCACTGCAGTTGCTTTCTGTAGAGGAACTTTTAACTTCAACATAAACTGTTTATCACAGTCGTCCAGTTCAAGTTCTGGTTCTGTCTAGGCCCCAACTAAACATCCGTGAGTTATTAATTCGAACAGTGACTCAGATTAGATGTCTTATTATTTTATGTTCACACAGACAGTGACTCGCATTATACACTGACACACGTTGATAGGGCATTATACTATCTTGGAACATATTAATGCGAAATTAGGTTCCCGACCTAAATTTCATCCCGGCTTGTTGCACATGGAACATATGTAATAACAACAGAATCCCACACACCTCCCCCGTGGCTTTTGTTGTGTATGGAAGTTGTTTTCACTCAAGATGCGGTGTATCTTGTGGCCGTACTTTCACAAGCGACTAGTATAATTTATGAGACAAAGGTGAGTGGGTAATACCAGCCAAGTATCAACAAGTTCCGGTACACTGTATATGAGCTTCACAACAGAATGTGTGTGTGATTTCAATGAGCTGAGCTCAACACCATTAGCTCTGTTACCATTCCTGTAAATTGATCAGTTTATAAGAAGAGTTTTAGACAAGCATTTATAGTTTATGCACAAGTCCAGTATTGGCAGTAATATCCAACATATGTTAGCCTTGATCATTCAACAGAAATGCAACACTAGTAGACATCTGCATTGTACATTTCTGGTCGAAAATATTTTTCTATCATATGCAAATTTGCCACCATGCATTGTAGATCAGCATACATTATTTAATGCCGAGTCCTTTCTATATCATTTTTGTTTTGCAGATTATTGTTTCCATGTTGTCAGTACCATCTATCTTTTTTCGGCCCAAAGGACGGGAAGAAGAAAGCGACGCTGCCAGAGAGAAGTTTGCAGTACCTGAAAGTGACCATCTGACGTTCTTAAACGTCTATCAACAGTGGAAAAACAATAAGTGAGTCACTAGTAAAATGTCAATATTTATCATAAGTCATTGTGATAAACTGCAATATTATCCTATGTCATGATTTCACAAGTGTTCAGGTTTATGTCAAATTTGGCTTGTAGTCGGTGATAGTAAAAAAAATCATTTGCGTTGAATTGATTCTTGAAACAATGTCTTCTGTAATGGCTGTGGTTGTGTACTCTCTCCAACCAAATACTATGCAGTGAATGAATGACATTATCAACAAATTTTAATTTGTAAGAAAGCGAAGACAATAAGTATACAGTGAAGTCTATTGGAAATTTGTATTAAGTTTGTGATTTTTTATGGAAATTTAGATCTTGCTTCACATAACACTGCATATGTCTTGTTTGGCTATAACACTGCATATGTCTTGTTTGGCTATAACACTGCATATGTCTTGTTTGGCTATAACACTGCATATGTCTTGTTTGGCTATAACACTGCATATGTCT